CAACGTCCTTTGTCCAATACATCCACTGTCCCTCTTCTCATGCTCAAACTACCTCAGCCTCAATAACTTTGCCACCAAATAACTCAACCTGAGCTGTACCTTTGATTTAATCAGTTCTAATACTGTCCCTCTTGTTCCCTCTTAACAGAGTAACTCCTTCTGAATCTTAATTCTCTGTCATTTATCTCATTTATTGTTACACGTTATGTCTAGGAAAGCAGATCCTTATATTTTTGTTTTTTCTATGCATAAATCTTTGTCATATGTGTCATAATGTGTACCGTAAACATGAATTTAGGTACTTTTAATTTAAAAACTAAAAAGACTTGACTTGTACAGTTTGAACCAAAACCATTAAGCACATACTGTACACGTGTTAGAAAAAGATGGATGTCTGGCTTTCTGTGTGAAAACAATGAAAGATAAAGAGGAGATGATTGAGACTGGGGACAAATCACTTGTTTTTATCTTTTGAGGAGAAACCTTTGAACTGAGTCAGAAACTGGGAAAAAAGAGGGAAAATGAAACGATAGAGAATTGATTTCTCCCTCCTGTCAAGGCGAGCAAGAAGATGAGCGTCTCCCAACAGGTTCTGTTCAAAATATGGAGATGAAAAAAGAAGGCGTAGAGAGGAAGATTAGGACGAGCCGACGATGGAGCCCAGTGGTGATGGAGTGTGATGTGTGCGCTTGTCACACGTGTTTTAACTGGAACTCACAAAGAATTATCCAATTAATGCCTGCCTGGACCGATTTACTGGCTCCTTCATCAGCTGCATCTCACTATAATATGAATTTAGTTCCAGATTTTAATATTTTTCACCCATAGTTTGCTCTGAAAGTTGTCAAATCTTAAAGAAAACATACATTTTGGCTTGTAACTTCCTATATACATGTTCGGCCAAATTGCTCTTCTGGTGAATAAACAGTATCATCTGTTAGATGATGAACCTGGATGTCCATTTGTCATTTAAAACGTTTAATAAATTACCAAACTAAGATTACCTGACTCATTTTAGACACGTTTCTTCCTAACTGCCATTTTTAATACAAAACATTTAATTTATAAATGTAAATTAATGGTTTAAAAATCAAAAGGTTGACGTGGCATTTGATTGAAAATAATTGTGTTGCTAATAGCCAGTAGGACTAGTTATTCTGGCTTATATAAATAATTAATCCATTAACCCCAAATTCAGACTAGTATAAAAACTGGTCATTAGCATTTATTACACATGTGCCAATAATAAACACTTCCACTTGTTCATGTTTGTAAAACTGGGAAGAAACAATGAATATGCCTGATGTGAGAAACTTTATTTCTATACAAAAAAACTGCTTTTATTTAAAACTAGGCTGCACAAACATGTTTTTAAAACTATTACAACGTAAAGAGTGCAAACGTGAGTTTTTGTTAGAATACAGCAATCACTCGCTACTTCAGTTCGTTAATCGCGAACTCGCTCTTCGCTCTTTCAAAATAAGATTGGACATGACACACAACTGGCTGACTGATGGATGAGCCGCACGATCGGCATGGAATTTTTATGTAAAATAAATTATTTTAAATTATTTAGCACCTCCTGGACTTTTGTGCAGCCCATACTGCAGGATAAACTTCCTGCTGCAGCTGATCAGCTGTTCGTCACGCAGAGCGGAGAAGTGGGCGTGGCCAATAACGCTTGCAGGTGGCAAAAAGCAGCGGAGGCAGGGAGCTGAAATCATGACATTCTTTGCTCTTTTAGAGTGCTTAGAGTTTAGAAACATTGTTTAGAATATTGCAAGAGTGTGGGAAGGGTTTAAAACACCTTTATATACATATACATATATATATAATCAAATAAACTACTACTTACTACTTGTACTACTATTCTTACTTCACAGTTTTTCACTTATCGTGGGTCTTCAGGGTACAGATCCCCTGTGATAAATGAGGAACTGCGGTATTGGAATCTGACAGTAGTATATTATATCCTGGCTGCTCCTTTTTTGTCTACTTTATCCTTATAATTAAAAATGGTTGAGCTCCATAAATGCCCCTGAGGCCTGATGGGAGGATGCTGGCTTATATGGATTATTTTCTCCAGAAACCGTCTTCAGTTCAGACTCGGAGGAGGTGGTCTGCTTATAAGAACTCAGTGTGTTTAATCAGTTTATTTTTGGAAGGTCATTTTATACGGGAATAAACAAAATGGAAGATATAGTATGAAGGAGAGCATATTTCATTAAGGCTTCCTCTTCATTTTTTATTCTCATCCATACCTGAAAATCTTCCAAACTTGACTTTTAAATAACTTTTTTTTTTTTTGCACTTTGCAGCTAAGCTCTGTGTGTTCGTAGAATAAAATAAAAACCAGCTGGTGGCTGCATGCTACTGAACAGCACGGTGGTTTTGTTCTATTATTCAAGCCTGCATTTTTTAGTTTTGGGTAAACACAGAGGTGGTGTAACAAGCAGCAACTCTTCTTTCCATGCACTCGTCCATGCACGACTCACCTTTGTAGTAGAAAAGACAGAATTCGGCCAAGACAAACCACTTCCTCTTCCACAGGCGCATCCCAGAGCTGTCCTGCAGAGAGCAAAAGGGACACGAGAGCGGAAGAAAAAACAACTCGTGAATAATAAGACGGAAAAGCAGCTGCTGTCAGGAAACTCAACTAAAATAAAATAAAAATTCAGATGGACAAAATAAAAAGACAGTGGAAAGACAGGGAGAAAGAGTTCCTATTTGGTTGCTCGCTGCACCTTGCGCGACAGCTTTACCGCCTTTCCTTCAATCGTTTGTGCTTTCTGGCTCAAAATAAAGTCATTTAAAGACCAAAGAAGACATAAAGGGAAATAAATCTCATCAGACAGCTCTAAATACTCATCCTTTGGCTAAAGATGTATGAAGCTGCAGCCATGCAACACTGGTGGGTGCGAGCAGATAAGCATAAAACTAAAATAAAATCTTCACATTCGGTTGAAATAATGTTAATCTGTGTATGACGTTGTTGTCAACGTGTTTCACATTGAGTGTGAGTTGGTTTGTGCATTTTTGCAGGATGCTCCCAAGTGAATATGGTTTTATAACAGTAAAATATGTGTCTAGTGTCAGCTGTGTGCTGCCTCATCATTACTGCCGCCTTGCAGTAACATCACTCAGAGACTGAAGGAAAGTCAAGCATCTTCCAGGGGGACAATGCCAACTAAAGTTATTTATGCAAGTACTTTCCAGTAATAGTCTGTCTTTGATCAACAGCAGGTGCTCTACGCAGGAAGCCAAAGTGAAACAAATAAATCAAGAGAATAAAACAACGCCGCTGAGGAATGCCTGGAGACTGTGAACACCAAAGAACAGCGTCTGTTTTTTTGTGAGAGGAAACACACAGTACTCATGTTCAAATAAATTCTCATTAAGTTGCAAAGATCTAGATTAACTACGCACAATTCCCTTATCTGGATATTTAATAAACTCTGTCAGTCACTCATGGTTTTACTTTACAGGCATGGTTAAAATGATGGGAAAGAGACGGGGTGAGACTCTATGCACCTCACAGTTCAACTTGATTACAATCCAGAGAGCTGCGCTGCAATAGTAAATCCCCTCCACTTGGTACTATTTAGTAGTTTTAAATACAAGTATTTAAAAACTTCCACTTAATTTACTTACAGTTGTATATCTTGGTCAGCCATCTTGTGCAAGTGTTATGTGCATGTCATGTACAGGACATGCCACAGACAATCCAAACTAGGGCCTTTCATGTTTATGGTCTGTGAAGCAGTACAGTAGTCCCTCGCTACTTCGTGGTTCGTTTATCGTGGACTCGATCTATCGCGGATTTTCAAAATAAGATTCTACATGACACACAATTGGCTGATTGATGGATGAGTCACATGCTCGGCATGGAATTTTTATTTAAAATAAATGAAACTTTGTGTAGAATATTGCAAGAGTGTGGGAAGGCTTTAAAACACCTTTATATATAAATACATATATATATATATACATATATATATATACATGTATAAATACATATATATATATATATATACATATATATATATATACATATATAAATACATATATATATATATATATACATATATATATATATACATATATATA